CACAGCATAGGTACTCAAAAGATAGTGATTTTTATTCCTTAACCCCAAGGCTGTGCTCACTACCTCTCAGTCACACGCACGCACACACACCCTAAACACGTACACACCCCACACGCAGATGTAGCACCATCTCCTTTTTCCATGTTCAGAGTTGTGGTAAACTAAATCTTTCTCCCTCAGCCCTTCTTCTCAGCCATCCCGCCACTTTGGATCAGACGTATGGCCATGGAGATGAAACAAGTTACTTGATGGAGGATAAGAAATCAAAACATATGGAGGGTGCTTGTCCAGAGAGCATAAACGACTCTTTATTATAATGTGGAAACTAAAGTCTCAAATTAAAAATAAAAGAAGGCAGGATGTAGCTTTTGCCGCACTCCAACCACAGAGGAGCTTCATTGTCATACAATCACTGAGAATATTATGTTGATTGGCAAGAGCCAGGCTTTGTAGAAGGGACAAAATTCCCCGCTGCTAATCTACAATGGAGTTGTTCAATGTCAGGCACAGCTTTAATAATATTGTTCCAGGCTGCGTTGGATGTAAATATCCCACTCTTCATTTTGTAAGCAATCAAAGGGAAGTTTTATAGACGAGAGAGCATGAACGGTTATAATATCTGTGCCAGGAAACACACGGGCAAAATCGAAAAATCAAAGAACACTGTGCCTTAGAAAGGCTTTGCTTTGTGGCTTATCTCCGATCTCCTCTGTCTGTCCAGCAAGCTGCGCATCAGACACATTACAAAAGACCACACTTTAAATGTTGCCCTTGACATTATTAAAAAGTACAGGCTTGGCAAATCAGACTGGAGAAAAAAAAAAGACTATTAAATCTCAGAGTCAGGTAATCACCCCTTGTCTTGTCACAGTGCCTAGAATAATAAAGGAAGGAAGGTAACTCTTGTTTATTAAGCACCTACTGTGTGCTGGGCACTTGGTATCTATCAGAAGCAGTATCACATTCCATTTAGGAATGCTGAATAGTGGAGCCAGAAAGACTTAGATTTACAACCTGGCTCTTCCATTTTCTACCTGTATGGCCTTGGGCAAGTTACTTAAGCTCTCTGTGCCTAGGTTTTTCCATCTGTAAAATAAAAATAATAGGTATCCAACGGGATGGTTTTGAGGATTAAATAAAATAAACTTGTAGCCCAGGGGCCAAAACATACCAGGCATTCAGTAGTGGATGTTGTAAGTCTAACTTTATTTAATCTGCACAACAGCCCCGTGATAGGTTGAATTGTGTCCCCTTTACCTGCCCCCCCCCAAATATTTTGAAGTCTTAACCCCCCGAACCTGTGAATGTGACCCTACTTGGAAATAGGGTCTTTGCAGATGATGAAGTTAATTAAGATGAGGCCAATAAGGTGTGTCTTGATCCAATATGACTGGTGTCCTTATAAAAAAGTGAAATTTGGATACCGAGAAAGAGAGAGAATGCATGTGAAGAGGAAGGGTTGGATGATACATCTACCAGACAAAGAACGCCAAAGATTGTGAGAAACGTACCAAAGCTAAGAGACAAGGAAGGGTTCCATGACATGTTTCAGAAAGATCATGGTGCTGCCGACACCTTGATTTTGGACTTCTAGGCTCCATAATTGTGAGACAATAAGGATCTGCTGTTTTATGTCAGCCAGTTTGTGGTACTTGGTTACAACAGCCCTAGGAAACTAATAGAGCCTTGCCATGGGAAGAAACAGGTATCTTCATTTTTAGATAAAGAGTTGAAGCCCAGAAAGGTAAAGTTTACAGGTCAAGATCAATCAACTAGAGGTGAATGAACTTTGATATGATCCAGACCTCTCTGAGCCTAACATCTGTCCTCTCTCCGTTCACTCTGTGGCCTCTCAGGAGCAGAGCTCAAGATGAAAAGAGTGTTGGGGTTGGAAACGAGCCCCTATTCATCACACCCAACTCCCAGTGGAGGTGCCAGGTCAGAGTGGTCTGATTATGAACAGCTCATTAAGTAAAAAGCAGTGAGCGTCTGAGAGTGACTTTTTAAAAAGAATCGACTTTTATTTATAGTGACGTTCTAGTCATTAATTTTGAAGGAAGAAAGCCCAAAGCAGAAGTAGGTTCATTAAAAATTTGACATTAGTAATTTGATTAAATTGGGTCTTTGCGTCTCGTTGTGGAAAATGAAACGTTAGTTCTACACCAGTTCTCAGCCCATTTCCCCCGGTTGGTTCCCTCCCCTCACCTTAGCTTGCTTTCTTCTCCAAATGTTTAACTGACCCACCCCTCCTACCCCTGACACTCACAAACACACACACAGACACACAGACACACACACACACACAGATGCACGCACCACAGTCACTGCCTCTGCTGCAAGCCAGCAGCACAGGATTGTGGGAAATGCCAGATAAGCCAGCAGCACAGGATCATGGGAGAAGCCAAGGACACTAGCAACAGAATCATGAGAAATGCCAAGGAAACCAGCAGCGTGGGATTGTGGGAAACTCCAAGTAAGCCAGCAGCACAGGATTATGGGTAATGCCAAGCAAGCTAGCAGCACAGGGTCATGGGAGATGCTAAGACACCAACAGCAGAATCGTGAGAAATGCCAACGAAGCCAGCAGCATAGGATTATGGGAAACTCCAAGTAAGCCAGCAGCATGGGATCATGGGTAATGTTGAGCAAGCCCATCATCATAGGATCATGGGGAGCATTAAGGAAGCTAGCAACCTGTCATGGAAAACGCCAAGGAAACCAGCAGTGTGAGATCATGGGAAATGCTAAGCTGGGCTAATGGACAGGGCAATGGAGGTAAATTCTTTCATTTGGGTTATCTCACTTGTCAGAGGTGGAGAATAGGCAAGGAAGAGCTCTTCCTTCCTTAAGATAACTCATGAAAACATAAGCCTCTTGAGGGCAAGGACCTGCTTTGTCTAGTTCATTGCTGTAGCCCCAGCTCCAAGCACAGTCGACCCACGATAAATTTGTACTGCACGAAGGAATTAATATATGAATAACTCCCAAACAACTAATTAATGAACCCTCAAATATGTCCCTCCAAGCACCAGGCACTGTGTTAGAATCCCAAGATACACCCATAGACCAGACCAGGACCCTGCCCTCATGGCCCTACTGTCCAGTGGGATGATAACAGCTGCCATTTTTTGAGCATCTGTTTTGTGCTGGTCAAGGTGCCAGGCATGTATCATTTATGTCGATAAACTCCTCAACCACTGGATATCACTGTCCTCCTTTCACAGCTGAGGAAACTAGGGGTCAGAGAGGTCACATGACTCAAGGCCACAGAGGAAAGTAGAGGTGACATGACAGCACCTGGTTTCACACCCAGATCAAGCTGCCTCCGATGTCTGTCCTTTTCCTCTGCACCAAGTTGTCTCCGCCTGGAAGGAGGGAAGGAGAAAAAGGAGGGACACCTTTCTTCGGGCTGTGAGACCATCGGGGCTGGCAGAGGGGGTCCTGCCAGGGTCTTCCTGGTGACGTAGGCAGGGACTGGGTACTGCAAGGGTCTGGGAAGCCCTCTAGAATCCAGGCTATCGCCACTTCTTCATCTTTATTCCTCTTCGCTGGCACTCATATCTCTCCCTCCAAGCTCCCTCGGTTCCTAGGTTATCTCTCGTTTCAGAGCCTTTGTACATATTTCCTCTTCCTGGAGCACCCTTTGGCCTAGCTAGTAATTCTTACCGATCTCTCGGTGTTCATCATAGATGTCACTTCTTCCAGGAAGCTGTCTCTGACCAACTCAGACTAGATTTGGGATCTCCTGCCTGGTCCCTGTCCCATCATGACACTTAGCATACCTTGAATCACATACCTCTCCCACTGGACTGGGAGTTTGTGTTGTACTCACTATATGCCAGTCTCATTCTACGAACTTTCCACACCTTAACCCATTTAATTCTCACAACAACCCCGTGAGGGAGGAAGGTACTATTGTGATCCCATCTTACAAATGAGGACACTGAGGCACAGAGAAGTCGAGAGACTCGCTCAAGGTCCCACAGGTAGTAAGCCATCAGGCAAGGATGCAGTCCCAAACACTGCGGCTCTTGAGTCTGTACTGAACACCATCCTGCTTTTCTGGCCTCAATAAATCATCGATAAATCATCACTGGGTGAATTAATGGAGGATTACTTTGACAGGAGTCGGGACCTGGCTGTGACCCCTCTTCTTCCCCTTTGGGGGCATCCTAGAATGGTGGGAAGTATGACCTTTAGGGCACAGGCAGTTTTAAATCTCAGAAGAAATGCATAGGATAGGGGGAGCTGGGTCAGACTGAACAGTGACTCAGGCACAGAAGAGCTGCCCCCTCCCTCCCTCCCTCCTGATTGGTAGGTCATGATGCTCTCGCACCCTCACCAAGACTGTTTCCTCTGGATAACGAGAGCATATGCGCAGCTGGCTGTGATGCCTTTGTCTTAGGTCACACATGTACAAAGTATTCTCCGGCTCCCCATTTTCTCCTTTAAATGGGTCAGTTGGATCAGAACTCAGGCTCTTGTCTTCTGCCTCATTGCCTTTTCCAGCACTAATGACCACTTCAACTCCCTCAAAGCCCCTGGGTCGAAGTAGTCCTCTGCCTGCCAGGACAGACACACATGAAAGAAAGCACATTGGGTTTAAGCAGTACCTACTCCATGCCACGATGCTCTGTGTCCCTTCCATGACGTTTATGAGAAGGAGTGTGGGCGACCAAATCAGGGCAACCAAACCCAAGAGAATAAAGTGATCTCCTTGAGGGATCTTGAGTGATGGGATGGATGTCTCCACATCCAGGGCTGTGCAAGAGAAAATGCAGGAAACCCGGATGTTCAGTTATAAATCGCGGGTGAGGCTCCTTCTTAGCACGTGACCTCTTTGAGTACTCATGGACTACTTGAGCCTTGAGAAGGCCAACTTCGTCTCACAAGAGAAAGGAGACACAGGGAGGAGACGTGCCTGGGAGATGCTCCTCGGAAGCAAGGTGTCAGGGCTCGAGCCCAGCTCACGGACTGCCTGTTTCTCCCTCTCCTCACAGTGCTCCCCAGTCACACGTGTGGGAACCCCGGACGGCTGCCCAATGGCGTCCAGCAGGGCTCAACCTTCAACCTGGGCGACAAGGTACGCTACAGCTGCAACCCCGGCTTCTTCCTGGAGGGCCACGCCGTGCTCACCTGCCACGCTGGCTCAGAGAACAGTGCCACGTGGGATTTCCCCCTGCCCTCCTGCAGAGGTAGGTGGCCAGAGAGGGTCCTACAGGTGGGTAGCAACTGGGAGAGGGTGCCAGAGCTTTCAGTGAGACCCATTCTCCAGTGGGGAAGCTGCACCATCCACTCCGGCTGGACATGGGGTACCCACTCTCGGAGTCTCCAAGGGTCTTCAGGGTCCCCAGGTATTGTAGGATCTTCTCAGCTTCACCAGGTGTGCACTCTCTCAACATCACAAACTTGTTTTTAGCCGGTCTGCCCTCACCTCCTGCCCTCCCGTCTCAGAGGAAACCTGCTTTCTCTCCCCGTCACAGACCATATCTCCTCTTGTGCGTAGATATCGCTCCCAGCTGCTTTTGTATGACCTCACTCTGACGATTATTCTTTTCTTTTTCTTATAGATCCAGCCTTCCCCCTATTTAATGATGTCTTCCTCATAGTCTCCAAATAGTCACCCTACCAAAAAA